TTATTGTAATATCACAGTAATTTAATTATTAAAATCATTATAGAATCTGAATAAAATCATTATTAGATTTTTATATTATAATTAAAATATGATAGTTATAATTTAAAAATATTACAGCTAAATTAAATTTTTTCTGAATTGTATTCATATTATGATGACATCATTACTATATCATAACCATATCATCAAAAATTTGCAGGCTTCTGTAAAGATTGTTTTATTATTTTTTTGATTAATTTTCATTATCGAAAAGTTCATTAATATCAAGATCTATAAAAAATTAAAATTTTGAAAGTTTATGTTTAAAAAATAATATTTTATTAATAATTTATTATTAATTAATTTGTTTATTTAAAGCTTGAAATTTTTTTTTGATTAAAATAAAAACAATGAGAGAAAAAGATATTATTCAATATTTTTGTATTGATTTAAGAGATATTTATAAAAGACAAAATTATAACAATACTCTTTTATTATATTACAATTCATTTTACTTAATAAAGATGCTATTGCTATTAAAGAATTTAATAGAAAAATTGATAATAAATAAAATTATCTAAATCAAGATTTAGAAGGTTCTAAAAAAAGATTACATAAAAAAATTAATATATTTTTTACAATCTTATAATATAGAGAACTTGATTTAAATAATAAAAAGATTATCACAATATATGTTGTTGCAAAAGAATCAGATAGAAAAATATTTTGCAATTGAAATTTTAAGATGTTGATACATTTAAATCAATATTAAATATGTTATTATATATTATAAAAAGAGAAGAATTTAAAAGAACATGTATTAATATTATATATAAAAATAAAAATTTTAGATATATTATTAAATATAAAATACATTATTAAATTAAAGCTAAATTGAAAAAGAATAATAATAATATACTTGAAAAAATTAATAATAATACAGATTTTGATAATCTTGAAGATATAAAATATGCTAAAGTTGTTAATAAAATAGATGATTTTATGAGTAGTAATGATATTATAATTGATGCTGATTTAGAATTAGTTATATTAATAATGTAGATGCATTTTTTAGAATTTTAAATTTATTATTAAAAAATCTAAAAATAAAGTAGTAAAACAAAAACAAAAAATATTAAATTTTATTTAATATATTATAATATATTTATTTATTTAGTTAGAATATTATTTATTTATTTATTCAAATATTTATTATATTTTATTAATAAAAAAATAATTATAAATATTTTATTATTTTTTTATTATTATTTATACTATTGATTCATTCATTGCTATGTTTATTTAATTATTTATTGAATTATTATCATTTGATCTAAATCTTGGTCTTATATTTCTTTTATTATTACCAATTGTATTTTTAGTAATATATATAATACTTCTACTACTATTAGGATTATATTTAGCTCTCCTAAAAATTTTCACTATAAGAATATATTTGCATTTCATTTATTATTTTTCTAGGTTTGTTTTTTAGTAATTCAAAATTAATTGTTTTTTATATATTATACTTATTCTTTTTGGTTGGTTAATTTTTATAATTCTTTGTAAAATTTGTCATTGATTAGAACTTAATTGTCTAAATACTATATTTCTAATATCATTTCAAAAATTATTAAATGCTTTTTCAAATTTATAATTATTTTTTGTTATAGTTAATTGATTTTGTATATTTTCAAGATTTGCTATATATTGTTGTAAATGTTTATTATTTAAATTTATAGTTCTAATATTATTTTGAAGATTATTAAATAATTCTTCAAAATTGTTATTATTTCTTGTTATTAATTAATTATGTAAATTTTCAAATTCAATTAAATAAGGTTCTAAATATGTATTATCTAAATTTATATTATGCATATTTTTATTAATATTATTTATTTGGTCATTAAAACAATTTATAGATTTTATTATTTCTTGATTATTGATACTGATTCTTTGAAATAAATGATCAAAATTAATATTAAATCTTTTATTATTAGTATTTAAATCATTAATTCTTTAATTGAAATTTTCAAGATTAGTATTAATTTGATAATGTGCATTATTAATATTATTATTAATTTTATCAAATCTTTTATTCAGATTTAAATTATTAACATCAAATCTTTAATTTATGTTATCAACATTTCTATTGATTTTTCCCAATTCATTATTTATATTTCTGTTTAAATTATTGAATCTTAGATTTATATTAGTACCAATTTGATTAATATTTTGTTCATGTCATCTAACATTTTATTAGCTATAATTATTTTTTAGTTTAATTAATTAAACTGAGTATTAATATTTTTATTTATATAATCTAATATAGTTTCTAATTAGATTTCTGATTGCCTAATCAAATTAACTAATCTTTGATCATGTTATTGAAATTGATTTTGTAAACCCATTCTATTAGATGAAATATTATTATTTCTATTACCATTATTTCTAGGTCTTGATGAAATCAGTAGTAATAGTCTAGGTGGTATTCCAGATAGTAGTTAATTTGGTCTTGATGATTGAAACCCAATTTTAA